AAGCCCACATAGAGAAGTATTCTGTACTAGCTGTTATTCCTAGACTTCTAGCATTTACCAGTAATTTCTTTAAGGTCTAATAGTTCCTATAAGGTATAGCACAGTATTTCTATTAATAAACTACCACACCTGTTTGTGTAAAATAAACAAAATCCGCTTCCAACAGAGGAAAGTTACAAACCACTGAGATTTAACAGCATCAGAGCAGTAAGAGATCAACATCAAAGCAACAAGAGATTTGTCCCTGCCCATTGCAGGGGGGTTGGAACTAGATGATCTTAAGGTCCTTTCCAACCCTAACTATTCTATGATTCTGTGACAAAACCCAACAGTGCATGGCATACTGCAGGCCAAAGCCTGGCCTGTGCCACCTAATTTTAAGTCTATGATTAAAAAAAGAGTTGTACAAACATCTTCACGATTAGTCGCAAAACAACAAAATGAACAGGGCAGGGTCCCACGTGTGTAACAACACCGCAGGCTACAAGAAAACCGACACAAGAGTGAAAAACGTTAAAAGGTGCTCGCTGCCACCTCCCAGCAGCAAGCAACCCATTGTCTAGCGCTTCCTCCCGAAATCGCATAGTTAGGAGGCTGTGAAGCTGGGAGCGAGCTGGCAGCCGGGTACCAGGCGGCATCGCTGCCTGGGTCTGAAAGCTGGGCCGCTGCTCAGCATCTTGGTTTCGACACCAGCAGCGGAGGGAGCCACTTCCCGAGGCTGCGGCCGCATCCCCCCGCGGCAGTAACGCTTCGCATGCCGCTGCTCGCATCTGCCCGCCGCGACCTACGAAACGCAAAACCACGAACACAGATGGAGTTAGCAGAAGCCCCCGCGGCCGCAGGCACCCCCCGCCGCCCCTCCCGCCCAGCAGCACTTCATATGTATCCCGACGGGGTTAATACTCAAGGCCCCACAGAAACAGGCAGCCTTGCTAAGTTAGTTAGCAGCAACACATTGTCTAATTGCGTGCCCTAGTTGGTGACTCACTCAAAGGCTCACCCCTGGGGATTGATGGATGAGGAGGCTGAGATGTGCAGCGAAGGGAAGAAGGCAGGAAGGAAGGAAGGAAGGAGGGAGCAGCCTGGCTTGGTGGTGCCCAGTTTCCCCCACCCCGTGTGCGGCTATCGAAAAGGGGGAAGAGAGGGGCAGGAACTGAACCTCGTCCCTTCCCCTCCACGCGCTGCTTGGACCGAGGCAAGAAACGAGGGGGACGGAAAGCGGAGGCCTCTAGCTCTCTTTCCCCCTCCCCGGACCCCGCCGCCGCCACCACAGTAGCCGCAACTCCGGTGCTGAGGCTCACACGCTGCGAGGGGGGGTAAAATGGCGCCGCCCGCTGGGAGGAGGGACCGGTTCCGCCACACAGCGGCCGCAACGCGCCGCCGCCTCCATCTGCTGTGTGGCAGCCGCTGCCTCCCAGGGCGAGAGAGGGAAACCGGGGCGGGGCTCGCCGCCGCTTCCTCCCTCCCAGCCGTTTCTTCCCTCCCGCGTTGCTTCCTCTTTCCCCGCCGCCGTAGCTCACTTCAGCCCGCCGCGGGATCGCTTTCCTCTGCCCGCTTCCCGTAGGTGCTGCCTGGCGGCTGAGGGGAGGGCCGGAGCGGCTGTGGCCGTCCCCGTTCCTCCTCAGCGCGGGGCATCGCTGGAGGGTGGCGATAAGAGGCTTCAGAGCTGCTCCCAGGGCCGAAAGCCCGGAAGGGTTTGGGGAGAGGAGGCTGGGTCCTCTCTAGCACTCACACAGATGTCTAGCCTCGGTGCAGGTGCCAACGCACCCGTATCTCTGCAGCTGCAGCATTGTAGAGGTGTTTGACAATGGCACAGAGCCTTCCCCTTAGTGTATGAAGGAGCTATCTGCGTACACTTTGCAGTTGGAAATACCGGTGGATTTTTGCTGCAACACGACAAGCTGTACTACTTCTGTACTGCTACTACTGCATACCATTAATGGTTCACAGCTGTGCCAGGGAAGGTTTAGGCCGGGTATTTGCAAACTTTTTTTTACTGAGAGGGTGATCAAACTCTGGAACAGGCTTCCTAGAGAGGTGGTCAGTGCACCCCATGCCTGTCCAGTTTTGTCTGGACAATGCCCTTACAATGCTTTAGATTCTGGTCAGCCCTGGAAGGGTCAGAACTAGATGATTGTTACAGGTCTCTTCCAACTGAAACAGTCTTTTTTTTTTACACTGGGGTGGTTAAATTCATTGGGCTGGTTTTAAGTACCATTTATCTATAAGCAGGGCCTGTGTTTTCCCTCTGATTCCTGGCAACGGTAGCTTTCCTGTGTTCTGTCAACTCAGCGAGTTAATGGGGAAAAGCGTGACTACAGAGCTGGAGCATTTAACCTGTTTTTCCTTTTCTCTTTACCCTTCCTTTCTTCTTTCAACCTTTTCTTTCTTTGACACCTAATTGTAGGGTTCCACTCATCTGCAAGTACACACATAAATTTATTAGGAGACAGGATGATTTGTAACCTGGTATAAATTGGAACTAATAAATGTGACCAACAGAGGTAAAGTTCTTCACTATGAGTGTGGTGAGGCACTGGTACAGGTTGCCCAGAGAAGCTGTGGCTGCCCCATCCCTGGCAGTGTTCAAGGCCAGGCTGGACAGGGCTTTGAGCAACATGGTTTAGTGGAACGTGTCCCTGCCTGTGGTGGGGGGGTTGGAACCAGATGATCTTTAAGGCCCCTTCCAAACCAAACCATTTTATGATTCTGTGATAATGCAAATTCCTGCCTGCACACTGAAGAGGATCCATATTATTTAAACTATGGTTCATTCTAAGAAACAGACAGCATAAAGACTTGATAATTTTAGGGTTTTTTTGGTGTTTATTTTGGGGTTTTTTGTTTGGTTTTTTTTTTTTGAGGGATAAAAGGAGGAAAGTGGGAGCTCTGACAACAACTACAATGATTTTAACATTCTAGGGGCCCTCTGAATTCCAGCTTATTGGAAGTCATTTTCTGCTTTTTCCCTTTATCTTCCTTCTGCTACTCTTTTTTTTTTTTTTGACTACCATTCACTCCCCATCCTTCTTACTACTTCATATAAACACCCTATCATTCCCCTCTGCATTGCGTCCTTCCTGTTCCCACCTCCCACATCAGCATCGGAAAGATGCATCGATTCTGCTGCTCACTGCGAATGCTGCCAGCCTCTCTCCCTTCTGCTGCTGCTTATGATTATGAAAATAAAGCCGATACCAGGCCAAGCACTGACAGAAGCAGGGCAAAACACCAAGCAGCTATAGTAGTATCCTAGAGAGTAAGACGCCTCACACTGCTGATTCTTGCATGCACAGCAAAGTCTAGTTACTGCTATGAGGAGGATGGCCTGAACATTTTAAAATACTGGGTTGAAGCAGAATTATTGATAAGCATTTTCCTGGCCAAAAGACGCATCAAAGCATTCTGCCAAGCCTTGAGGTGACTCAAGTTTTAAGCCAAATTCTGTGATTTGCCAAAACCTTACATTAAATTGAGGAAGGCAAGGCAGCATATTGCTGACATTTCTATGATATGTACCGTGCATATCTTAACATGTACCAGAATTGGTAGGACAGACTAATATGAAAACATAGAAAATAGAGAAATCACTACGGCAATTCCATATGGTAATTTTAGTAAAGAAATTACTGGGATAATATGGTTGAGCATGTCCAGTGTGAACTATGTAACATTCAGGCTCTTCAATAGAGGCAATGTGACTTGCTGAAATGCCTAACATTTTCTGACAATTTTTGTTGCTGTGCAAAACTCTTTTGCCCGTAGTGAGAGGTTACTAGTTCAGAAGTGATGGAAGTTAACTGCCCAATGATGATCTGGGCTGATGGAAGAACTTTCCCCCGTTGCCATTTCTACAGGTGATAATTCCTGGCAGAATAATTGAGCAAGAGAGATACCGACTGGCTATGAAATCTTAAATCAATGCCAAAAAAAGTTGTTAGAAGACAGGAGGAAAGAGGACTAAGGAACACAACATCCCTTATAGTGCTGTGCCTTAGTGTAGCCGGTAAAAACGCAGTGGCTGCTCCATACTCAAGTCTGAATTCTTACTGTACAGAGAGGGAAAAAAGAGATCAAGTTTTTGTTATGCATTATACAGAACCAAAAATGGGCACATACTAAATTATTTTTCCTTTTTGGGTCACCTTTCAGATCATAAGGTCATTATAAACTGTCTCAGCACTTTTACAAACTGGAGTCTGCTCAAACCATAATACTTAAAAGTTTCCCTTTGAATAGGCCTAATTTTCTCTGTCATTTGTTTTCACTTTTTATTTATCTGCAGAACATAAAAAGTCAGAAAAAGATTTTATTTTCCCCTACATATCATATAATTTACATCAGTCACCCCAGGACACCACTGGGGTGTCATTTAAATACAATGAATATAAAGTAATGAAGTTCTTGCTGGAGAGGATGGCCACAATTCTCGGAGAAAGAGAGAGAGAGAGTTTCCAAAGCATGTGGAGAAAACACAACAGGAGACTGAGTGAATTCATCACACCACAAAAATGTCTCTCTCCTGTCGACAAAGTCATTAAAGGAAAATGTACCATTGTTACTCTAGATGCTTGCATTCCTTTAGCATAATAACCTCAGTATAGAAGCATTGGTGCGAAGAGAATTTGCACACACAAGAGAAAGAAAAAAATATTAAAAAAAACAAAAAAATCCCTATTATGTAATGAAAGAAATCCTCCATGCTCCAAAGAGATGGAGCCTCTGCAGAAGCCACAACTAATAAGGAACCATATGCAGTGGTACAGGATGGTTTCTTTTCCTCCTGCCAACAAGTCAAAGTAAATGCCAACAGGGACAATTCCTTTCAGATAACCCACAAATTATATTCTCCTGTAATTACACAAATGTTCTGCCTTTTGCTGATCCATAGCCATCCCGGTTTTTAACATCCCTTTCCCATTTCCCTTTTCATATTCATTTACTTCCAGTAATTTCTTCAGTCTCCATTAAAGCAATCTGTGAGGAATGCAGAGATTAGAAAGGTTTGCTGTGTTCAATTTTATTTAATTCTTTGGCAAAGGGTGCCCAAATAAGAGAAAGTGTCACATGCATACAGTAAATAATAGCATATGCCAGTTTCAGAAAATAGGTTGTATTTCTGTGTATCTCCCTCAAGGAAATACCACTTTAAAGCAATCCACCGTGCAGTCCCTGGTAAAAAAAGGTACTGTTCGAAAGCTGCAGCAGAAAGCCTTCTCTTTATTATAAATTATTCTATGGTATGGCAAAGTTCTGTTTGCTGTACTATTTAAAATAGAAACGTGCTAATTAAATTATGACTTTTATTGTCAAAACCATATAGAAATTTAATACATAGAAATACATAGGTTTTTTTTAATAGAAAAGCACTACATTGATTAAAGCAAGGGAAATTTGTCTTTGTTTTCAGCAGCTGCATTGGAACAGGGAGCCTACTCAGAAATGAGCAAAGTACTATTGAGGAAACGTACCAGCAAACACCAAATCATACGTGTTAATTACAACAAATATGCTTGCAGACAACAGTGAGCATGCTAGTTACCCATCATTTACTGCCACTGAAGCGCAGGGAAGTGAACTGGTTTGCTGGCAAGTGTCCCAATTAATTGGGCGTGCTATTTATTAGGGCGCTGATTAAAGTGTACTCTGCAATATAATAGTCAAGTATGAAGTTGCCAGCTCTTATTTACTCCTGGCTCATATGGATGAAAGCAGGAGAGTACACTAGCACAATATGAAATAATGGTGTATTCTGTGCCAAAATGGATTTAAGGCAATTGCAATACCAGGAAATTAAAGACCTGAAGAAACAGAATTAGGGAGCACCATGATCCTGAAGATCGAAGTTTGTGTTGTGTAATCCAGTTGCGACCAAGACCTTCAATCTATAGTAGTCATTTTGCACATGTATTAATGCTCCTTTTGGATGCAAACATCATATGCACACCCTTAAGTAAGCAACATACAAATGAAACAGAAAATATGATAAAAGCAGATGTTCATTCCTGACAGATCTGAGTCAATTCACTTGAAGAGAAACTACTTTGAGAGGTTCTTTTCCCAGGCACAGGCTCTTTTCAGCCTCTCCAGTTAACTGCCCTGAGACTGTAGCTTAAATAATGCTGGTTTGTTGTATGCTATTCAAAGCCATGGCTTCCACAAGTGAGGTTGGGAGTTTCCACAGACAAATAAGGAAAACTTATGCTAACAATTGTATACATTATCTGAAGTAACGCTTGAGGTTTGATCTCAACCAAGATAACTGCCAGAGCAAACCAAAATCATGATTTGTAGCAGCAAAGAACTTGGTCCTGGATCATTCTTAGCTTACCTTGTTAGCACTAATGCAAGATCAGGATAGAGGGCCCAAATGGCCATGATTATTAATGAACTTACAAGTCTGCACATGCTTTTGTTCCTACCTACTTCCTAAAGTGGTCACAGTAGTTTGGCAACATCCTGAATCGTGCCTCTATAGCCAGAGATACTCAAGGGTGACCTCTAGGATTAGAGGGCTCCAGCTAAAAGGCTCTAACAACAGAGTTGGTCCAGAGTCTTTTTTACACAGCTGACCGTGCCCAAAAAATACACAGCTCTGAAAAGAGCACCATGACAGTATGCTGGATGTTCTGTCAGGGAGCAGAAACAGGGAAAAATGAGAGCAGGAAAAGGAGGCAAAGCTCCAGTTCTCCCAAGCAAAGGGAAAAGCCAACACTAGTAGCCAGAGATTCCTCTAGCTAGGAGGCAGGTAGCAGCTTTAGCTAAACGTTGTCCGTATGGATCTCAAAGAACTCACTGAAGCAAAACCAATATCAAGCGATTCATCACCCATGTAATCACACCTGCCCATTATTCTTGCTGTCCTGCCCACCACCATTTAAATGAAACCACCATTCCGCACAAAATGCACAAAGTAGCTTAACCCCAGTTGAACCAGAAGCACACTGATTAATAGCAGCATATATTATGACAACTAGGATATCAGGAGTAGGTTTCAGTTTTGGATGCAGTCACCTAAAATTAGGTGTCTACATGTGGGCTGGGTTTAGGTTTTGATTGGTGTCAGTGGAAACCAAATTAACATGGTCAGTGCAGGCAAGAGACCAGTTCATCCGAAAGTAGACCTGTATGTCTGACCATCGGACTTCTCTAGAAGCATTTACTAGGGCTGAGTTTAATTATCTATGTCAAGTACTCTGGGCTATGTTGTCTGGCCTTCATCTGCCTTTCCAGAGAGTATAGGGCTTCATGTAGGTCCTGACATGTATGTCCAGCCCCACAGTGATTTCTTAGATAGCCCACGGCATCTGTAATAGCACCAGAGACTTAATTTTAAACAAGTGAATTGAACATAATGGGAGCTTAAACTTCTAGCTTAAATGTAAACATTTGCATTGCAGACAACCAAACTTACATGTCTGAACCTGGAATTCAGCTCTCCTCTAGCTGCCATTTGTGCAAGGAAAATAACATGTACATACAGTTATTGTTTATTTCTATTAGATACGCAAATTGGAGTATTATGTTGCTTGAAGAAAATTTGCAGGCTTCTGAATCCTTTGTGTCCTTAACAAAAATACATGTGGGGTCATTTTGCCATGGAAAGCAGGTGGAATCCTCAGGTTAACTATTTCCAAATGACATGCTTAGGTTATTATGGACTCCTGTTGTAAGCCTTTGAAAGATAAGAACCCAGAACACTGAGCTTTGTCTACAGAGAAAACATAAGCAGAGAACCTAAGTTTTTTCTAGACTGCATATTAATAAAATGGAAGTTTCCAGAATCACTCCATTCCAAACAGTGAAATATAGGAATAGTGCCAGGAATTTGCATCAAATTACTCCTGGACTGCAGAATAAATAACATCAGCCACAGGTTGTTAACAATTTAATTTCCTCAGTTTTTTAAAACAAATTCATGTTATTTGACCATGCAGAGCAGATAGAATGCTGAGTTTATGGTTACCCAATACTTTTTAATCCCTTAACATAGGTGCCCGGTGGTGGCACTCTGTGTACATTAGATATGAGAAAGATATTCAGAGAAACTTTTATTTTCTCCCTCTGAATAGATGTTTAAATATTTAGGGGCAGATTCCATTGCTACATGGACACAGCTGGACAACTTGGCCTCCACGTTTTAGATTTTAGCACTAAGCTTCCAATGTAAAATAACTTGTGATCTGTAACACACAGGAAAGCAGTAAGACCTGGTTTTAAGGGAAGAGTACATGTTTCTGTCTTTCTTATCGATATGAAGCACTGCCTTCAGCAGAGCTCTTGAGAATATCCTTACCTCTTCTCTAGACAGTCTTGCTTTTGTATAAGGTGCTTCTCTGGCAGCTTTGGTCATTTCTATAGCTGGAAAAGCGAGTAGGATACTTTTTTATTTCCTTGCTATTTCTTTCCAATTTCCATTCTACCAGTTTCAACTTAGCATCATGATGGAAAATGCAGAGGCATTTAAAAGTACTTCTAGACTAATTATTTTTTTTTTTAAATTATTAAAAAGTTAGGATGTAGATTTTGAAGTATAGACAATGTTCAGATCAGCCAAAGGACATAGCCAGTCACCCTTTCTAATAATCAATATTATAACTGTGATCAGCTAAAGCATTTTAACTGGGAATTGCTACAGAGTCCTAGTTAAAGAATTCTTTAATTTAGAGAGATTCTTTCCTTATTCTTGTTATTCTTTTCATCCTTCTGTTACAACACATTTTTATTTATAAGGCTCACATTCACTTGTCCAGTGCCAGGAGAGACAAAGCATGAGTGCATGGTACTTGTGCAAGATTATGTGAATGCTGTAGGATGTGTAGTCTGATAGAAACCTGTACCAGTGCCAAGAGCAAAGAGACAAGGAGGAAAAAAAAAAAAAAAATTAAAAAAAAATATATCCTCTCAGTGCAGTGATTGACCACTCTAAAATTTGTCCAGGCTTTCAAAATTCCTCCAAAATTGCTTTCTCACATCTAATATAGCTCTGGATTTTACTGTTACAAAAAAATACTCTGTTCTCAATTCTGTGATATACTGAACAGTTCATATATTTTAGTGGGTTTCATGAATGTCAGGTTCTTGTTGGGGATTAGAGTTTTTGAGGGATGGGAGGCTTTTGGAAGATTTATTATAAAGGTCACTGTCTACTTCAGATTTTTTTTCTGTGGTAATATGCTAATGCTAATGGCATCCAGCACAGTAGAGAAAGATCTTGCACAGTTTTGAAAGTTTTACAGATGCAATTATAAGTGAGAGTGAGCTGCTAACTTCATTTAGTCTTTTCTAAATCCTGCACACATAGCCAGATAAGACAGATAGATACATTAAACATTAATCCTTCTAAAAATGTTGTTCCACTTGTGGCCAAAACAGTATTTTATGGCATTCATTGCAAAGGTCAGCTAGATGTTTTACACAAAATAGCACCTTCTTGTATCAGTTGGAAAATGACTTATGCTTCAGTTTCCTTCCTCACATGCTAGCTTATTCTTTGAGCAATTGCAAAAATAAATACCATAGAAAAAGAAAACTTACATTACAATCCACTTCTTTCATGACGTTTCCATGGAGTTGGTCAGTCATTAATGAACATCTGAGAAGTAGATACCTGGTCCAACCTTGTTTGGTAAAACAGTTTCTTCTGCTTTTTCACAGAAGAGCATGTAGTGTATAAAGGGGCTGCAAGATTCATCATTACGTAGTATGTCAACAGATTCATGTGATGGAAGTGTTGACCGCTTGCTCATAACATGGGTATCTTCTTCCACTAGCTGTTCTATCAAAGTCAGCTTTCAATTAGACAACATAATCTTAAAAATCATCTGGTTTTATTGATTGGCTTGTGGCCTTGAATGATATATTTCTGTAGATGATAAGTGACCTGTATTAAAAGTCCTGTTCATCATCTGATATCCTGCAGGTGCACATCAGCAACAGAAAGTCACAGTCCATGCTGGCACTGCAGATTTTGCACTATCCCACTTTTACTGAATTGGGCCTTTTATAGCATCAATATTTCAATAGGTATGCACCTACCCTGACAAACAATGTGCTTTTGTTAAACTGCCTGCCCAATCTCCACAGATCTTGAAGCAGCATTGAAAACAACTGCTCTTCCAGTGTGGACAAAATCAGTTGAGTTCAACACCTACCGTAACAAATCCTTCTATACACTGCAAGGTAAATCCTATGCAGGCAAGTTGTCCCATGAGCCCCTGACAGGCATGATTTGCTATGGTGAGCAATGAATTTACCTGACCTTGTCCACACTAGTGAGACAATTTCTACTAGTACTTGAGTGGTTCTGAGGGTAGAAAATTATTTTTGACACTTCTCATCAAAAACAGGTAATTTTTTCTAGAGAAGGCATAGCCCCAGTGACATTACATAGCTGATGTGCTGAAGTGCAGCAGGGTGAGTTAAGGACACGCAGTCATCACTCAGAAAGACACTTGTTTTAAATTCAGAATACTTTCATAGGTAGAATTGTACTTACGAAAAGTTGTATTGGTAATTTCACATACAATGGTCTACAGAAAATAATCATGCATGTTGTGTGCAGCTATTAAAGAAGGTAGACTTCAAACATAGTAAGAGCCAAATTACCCTCTCACACCAGAGTAAATCAAGAGGGGTACCACTGAAAGCCAATGAGTTACTTGTACATGAAAAAAACTAGTATTTCTGAAAACATGATATAATAAAGTTCCTTCTTCTCATTTGATTTTCATGACTGCCTTAAGCTATGTCTCTATTGGATCCAGAACATAAAATGGGGAGAAGAAGGGGGAGCAGGGAAGGAGCGTAATAGTAGGACTACAGGCTGGGCAGTCAGGAGAAGAGTGTCTGTCCCATTCTCATTTACTCTGAGATACAGAGCAAACAGCTTTCAGACATACTAAACATTTTGAACATACTAAGGGCTGTTTATTTCAGATGTGTAAAATGCTGTAACTTGCCAGTAAACATAGCTAAGCATGCAAGTGCGTGCATGAAGATAACATATTAGTTACAAGAATTGTCCTATCATTATCTTTCACTTCTTTCCTGAATCACCTAGAATATGCCACAATTTAGCAAGAATCTCATGATAAGTAGTGTCAGAAATAGCTTTTTTTTTTTTCCAAGCTGCTGTCTATTTTAGACATAACATCACCCTTTACTGTAGCCTTCCACATAAAAGCAACATGAACAGTAATGTCTCTAAGGAAGCATGAATGATTGGCTTGCAGATTCTGTACCAAAAAGAGAGTTTATTTACTCCACACAGGTCATAAATTTCCTTAGAAAAACTGTCAGTGTTAATCTACATGTGGTGTTTAGTAAATAGAGCTTTCCTCTGATTCCCTTAATCCATGTTCTTCAATTGTCAAAAACAGTGGAAAATTGTTTTCTTGTGCCTAAAAATACAAATTATTCTAGTTCTTTAAAACTGAGTGGAAGCAAATAGCTGAAAGACTTTACATGTTCTTCAGCAAGGTGGGCATTTAGACATGGAAATGTGAAAGGATAAGGAGAGTAACACAAAGTAGAAAGTTACCTAAAGGCCGGTCTGCTTCTCTTACTTGAAGCAGCACCTTATTCCATGAAGGCTGTCATTGAAATCAGTGGAACTGCAGATAGAATAAGGCTTTTCTTTCCATCTTACCAAGGGGGGGGGGGAATTAAAAAAAGGGTGGGATCTGCCTTTTCATGTAAAGGGCTTTTATCTGCTCAAAATCACGCTAACCTCAGGGTGCCAAGCACTGTATGTTTGAAAGCATTCCAAGGATGGGAAGAGCTGCTCTATCTTCTCCACTACAAAGGGAAGCTTCATAGTAATGAGAGCTGCTGTGGTCTTCCAAGAAGGGTTTTGCATCTGCTTTGCCCCCTCTGAGGACCTCATACTTGTTCCTCCTGGATTTTTCCAGGTTACGTCTTTATATGCTTAAATTAGGGAAACACTTGAGTGACTGTCTTCACAATGAATTTTGCCATAAAAGGTCAGAAGGACTTCTCCCCTTCTCTCATCCTTTTCAGTACGTATGCATTTAATAAATCATCTCAATATTTATAAGATAAACTAGAATAACAGGTTTTGGTATTACATCACGTAAGCTCTTAATATCCCAAGGTCAGAGAATCCTATTAACATTTGACTGCCTGGTGTTAATGGTGAAGATTTTACTTACTCATGTTCCTTCTGGGGCCTGACCAGCATTTGAAAGAAATAGTGTAAAATTTATCATACTAACCATAACTGAATTATGAAGTGTGTTATGAAAAAAAAATCCAGGATTTGTACAAGACTCATTTTTTTTTTCTTTTCTATCACTTCAAAACAGACTATTTAAAGAAAAAAAAAAGCTGCAGAGAATTTTGACTTCTGAACTGAGAGTATAAGCCAGTTTTTAGCCCGTAAGGAATTTTTATGGTTGAATTATAGACTTCTAAAAGATACAATTTAAAACTGAACTGCTGACAGTCATTCTGATCATATTTTATAAGCTACTATTAACTAAGATGAGACCTTAAAGGAGAAATAGATCCCGTATCTATCTGCTGACTCTAGGGCTTCTTATCCTTTCCTCTAAAACAGTGAAGCCTACTGTCAGGGAGAATATTGGTCAGATTAGACTGACTACAGATCCAGTCCAGTCTAGCAAGCCCAGTGCTGCTATAGAGGCTTTGCAAAACTTAATTGCCAACTACTCCATCTGTACTGAGCACACACAAGAAAAACCTCAACAATTTTCAGCAGCTTCTAACTCAGCCAAGTTCGGGTGGGTCCTTTTGGTCAAGGGCAACAAAAGGAACTTATCTGATTTTTCCCCCTTATTCCTCTCCTACCAAGGAAAACTTCCCATCTCAGCTCTGAAATAGATATTGGGGTGATTCTAAGAAATTTAAAACTATTGTGAAACAATGGGTTTTCTCTTAATGCTGATCTTACAAGTAGCAGAAGTATTTCTGCTGGTAGTTTCCAAAAAATTCAGCTTGAGGCAGACTCAGGATTGAAAAGCTCATCCTGAACAGTAAAAAACTGGCAATGATATGTGAGTGAAAATAAGGTCTTACACTGGAAAGTGGTAGACAAGCTTAACTGCATATACTGCTGGCAGCTTCACCTATATTTTTTCTGCCAGATGTCTTTTATTACTAGACAGAATCATTCCTGGGATGTCTAATGTTTTGTCATCTGCACCTATGACTTATTTTTGGATTGATGTTGTTGTCTCCTGTGACTTCGCTGCGAAATCCGCAACAGCTGACTAAGGGATCGACCCTGTGTTATGCCCTGCACCCCCAAGGTCCTGAGGCCATAGCTGATGTGGGGCTCACATCTGTTATTGAGTGAATTTTCAGGAAAGAAAGGGCAAAAGCAGACTAATTTTTATAGTTCCTCAAATAGTTGGTTTGCTGTGTCCATTGCACTTACTGTTTGACATTACTGAATGCTTTCTTCTCTTTCACTCCTGTAGACTGCACCACCTCTTTCAGTGCTGTATGTTTTCATCCTTTTTAGAACAAGTCTATTACTATTTACTATTTTTCTATTGCTTCAGCTTTAAAACTCACCTTGTTAACAAAGAACGTGCCTGGGTTTTTTTTCTGCCATTCATGCTATTGAGAATTTACAATGGGAATCCTCACTGTTGCAACACTGAGGGAGTAAATGTAAGGACTTGGTGGTGAGCTTGTGGTTGGGAGCA